CACACACACACCACAATTTAATAAATAATTTAATATTAATTTAATATTTAATTTAATATCTAATTTAATAATTAATATAATTTTATGTGTACGTATTCTTTTTCGAAATTGATAAGAAATTTTTCCGCAGTAAGAAAAATTGACACAATGTGATGCAAATGGTTATCGACTAGAGAATTTTTTAAGTCCCTAAAATTTTTCTATATGTTTCTTGTTGGAAAGTTCCTAGAGAAGAAAGAGAACGAGAGAGAGAGAGAGAGAGAGTGAGAAAGTGGGATGTGGGGGGGAGGGTGGGAGAGGGAAGAAATTTAGAGACAGTATTTGTGAAAATATTACAAAATTGTGATGCGTGATTTTTCGTACCTTTTCGCATTTTACGAAACAACGAGTTGTCGAGTTTTATTACGATGCGAGTTCCTCAACAAATAGATTTTCGTGCATTATATTATATCGACGATAAAAACATAATGCAATTAAACAATTCTTCGTAAGTCATTCCTTTGTCACGTTCTCAAATACTGTCATTTTATTAAAAATTATGATTGTCAATTTAATCAAACGTTTTATGTAGAAAAAAAATTATTTACTCATATTTATTAGCTACAGCATTATAATACTTTATATGAGACATATGACATATTTTATTATAAAAAATATGTTATATATATGTATTATAAAAAAAAAAATACAATTATTCATTTTTATACTTGCTAATACATATAATTTTTTAATTATATCATAATCCAATTTTTTTTAGTTGCGAAAGAAGGCATAGCAGTAATGGAAGAGCCACAAACTCCAGGATCCGATTGTAATTCTAATCCAGCGACCGATTCTATTCAGCAGGATTTGGTTGGCTCGGAGTTTGTCCAGGACAATGTGGAATATCAATGGTTTATCGATTATGGGTAATTAATTTTGCACTTTGTATTTGTTTTCATATTGTTGTGTATTTTAAAAGAATATATATATATATATATATATATATATACATATTTAATATTAAATACAAATAAGAAAGGCCTAAGAGCCATATACGGATGTTTCTTGCGTACATCTCTAACGAAAATTAATTTTTTCGTTGGAAATAAACGAAAATGTGCACAAGTCACATATTCTTGGTTTACTACAAGACTTTAAATATGAAATATCTCTTGAGATTTAATTTCATAAACTCTATACCCCCCTAATGAAATAAAGAAATAAACGCGAGAGAAAATATTTAATTTTTAAATTATAAATAACATTAAATTTTCAGATATAGAGATGGAGGACTACATATCCATCCTAGTGTTATTTCATCACTTTCCGTGTCCTACTCCTCCAAGGATCTAGGTTATTACGATGACCTTGCTCGTAATTTGGATGCCAATCTGGCGGAGATTGATATGGAGAGTTTCCGTACAGCAGACATACATACCCTGCTTACGGCTCTCCCTGTCATGTGTACAGAACCGGTTCAACATTCTGAAGTAACTATTTAATACAGAATTAATTCAGTTATCTCTAATCATTTCAAAAGGAATCATTTAAGTCAAGAGCATAAGTTGATATTGGATGTGAGATATGGGAATGTGTCATCATGCAAATTTGTAAAACCATCAGTTTATTTCATTCCTGTTTGCAAATTTATATCAGTTTATGCAAACTTTTATATAGGATGTCTCATAGGAAATTGCTGATACTAATCAGCTATCGTTTTTTAATGTATGCAATTATTGAGAAAACAAAAATTGTAGCGAAAAGAGGAAAGTCTGCAGTTTTCAAGATTAAGAATCAAATTTTGTGCAATTTTGTATTGTTTTATTTATAAATTTTTTTGTATAATACTTTAAATGGATATAAATAAAATGTTTGTATACCAGTTTATTTGATTGAAAAAAGTAATGAAAAAAGTGCTAATAATCACATATGTAAACTAATGGTTAATATTTTCAAAGTGTGCACCATTTGAATTTGTACAAAATTCTGTTTTTTTATGAAACTTGTAAAAACTTTTTTTAACATGTCATTTTTTTTAATGTTATTGACGATCCTTTTAATAGCTGCTATTAAACCTGGCACTGTTGAAAATATTTATTATTAGTTTATGTGATTATTAGCACTTTTTTCATTACTTCTTATCAATAAAATAAACTAATATACAAACATTTTATTTACATCCATTAAAAATTATAGACTTTCTTCTTCCAACACATTTTTTGTTTTTCTTAATAACAGCATGCATTAAAAAATGACAACTGATTAGTTTCAGCAATTTCCTATGAAACACCCTGTATATAAATAAGATTAAGAATCAAATTTTGTGCAATTTTGTATTGTTTTATTTATAAATTTTTTTGTATAATACTTTAAATCTGGTATATGTTCCATTATCACCACAGTTTAACTATGAAAGAGAACAATATGCCAGTATATCTGGATCTATCATGGAAAAGCTTGACATCGGTTCTTCCATCAGCCCTCATACTAGTAGCCAGGTATGAAAATGGCTACTAAAAGTAGAAACCCAGTTATTGCAAAATAAATTCTTCATATATTGATATTTGATATAAATATTTCAACAATTGTATCAATTTCAACATTTGTATTTGATATAAATATTTCAATATAACATTGAATATTCACCATCTAATGTTCGGATTGCTTACTCTTTCTTGCGTGGACATGAACATGATATTATGATACTAAAATTAATAAACATAAGTCAAAATTTTAATTTCTAATGAGAAGAAATCTAACAACACATCTAATAATACTAATTGAAGTAATTTACTAGCTAACGAAAAGTATAAAAAATACATATAATTTTATTTATACTAATTATATATTGATCATATTTATTATTTGTTTAATAGGAGGAGGATTCTGCATGTTCCACCACTGATACAATATCTATATGCAAGTCGTCGTTGCTCTTTTCTCCAGTGAAGGAAACATCAATGCTACCATCAGGTGGTAGCTATAGCGTGGATTCATTGGACTGCGAAGACATGTTGCTTACTTGTCAAACGAATAATAAAAATAATTATACCATTGCTTTTGAGGGTAGCATTACTATGTATTCGGATGGTTCCCAAGATTTTGAAAATCATGGTATGTGCATGAATAGACTAATAAAAATGATTATTTATTATATTTATGATTTCTAGCTTCTCGCTGATCATGTTGGAGTTGTGACGTCAGAGCCGAGAAAACACATGCTAAAATTTTTAGATGCCATTTCAATATATCTTTTCATTTAAAAGTAGCATTTAAGAATTTTCAGTGTGTGCCTTGTCGCCTCTGACGTCACAATCTAACATTGCCGCGGCGAGGATTCAGGAGTCTTATTTATAATAAATAAAAGTAATATAAATTAATTTTGAACATCTTCTAATATACTTTAACTTTGTTATTTTATTTTATTCCTCTTTAATTACTCAGTCTATATTATTTTTAGATAAACCCAAAACATACGAGTCACCAGATGCATTCTATGATAAACAGAAAGATATGACAAGTGTATTAGACTTATCGATGGCATGTTCAGACTCGAAGATATATACCACATGGAGTAATTTGAAGCATTCCTCCATGAATAAAGCAATAACTCGTCATCCTTCTGGCAACAACAATATGATACCAGATATCTCGCAGAATACTGTTAATTTGATGCTTGGTGGTATGAGTAAACGAAGTCAAAGCTTACCGGATTTTTCACGCGTTCAAAAACTTCAGCAGGCTAATATGCCTATTAATTTTAGTGTAAATTTATATACGTATAGAAAGTATTTATGAAAGACTTGGACAAACTTCTACAGTGTCGTCTTTCCCTCGTATACTATTTTTTGACCAAAATTGTTTTATGCCAAAAATTGCAAGGAATAGATTTATATAAAAAAAATTATAGTAATTTAAAAAAAATATAAGTGACCTTTAAATGACCTTGAAAAGCGTTCTTCAGGAAAAACGTCAGTAGCGTCATCTGTTCTTTATATAAATTTTGTTCGAAACATTTTGTTGGATAATCAAAAATAAAAAAGTTTTTCTTTATTTTGATATGAGGCATACGTCTTAAAATTTGTTCAAGTATTTCGTAAACACTCTGAATTATTTGTAATTACATTTTATACGTATAATTTTGTAAATGAATATAAATGTTGGTTCGACACAGATTGATTCCACCGAATCAAACAATCACATACAAAGACTGCACACCGGATCTGTAAATTGTTCGACGAACGGGGAAAGCTTCGACAACACGGAGAACACCGGCACAAATAAGAAGCTGCAAAATCTAAGTCTCCTCAGACTCTTCATGAAGCAAAAGAGCATGAGTGTGGAGGGGATGAGTCTGACCTTGGACCAGTCGGATTCCATAAGCGATAACAATGGTAGTAGCAGTAACAGTGGCAGCGACAGTGCGACCAACACGAATACCCAGATACAACGGCAGGATAACGTTTGCGATAATCGTCGCGTGTTCGAGAACAACGATTTCTCTATCAACTGGATCAAACGCGATATGATGATGGCTAATCACCGCGACGCGGAGAATCAGCGAGAAGCCTTGAAATGTGCATCGTATTGCAAAAATGACAAGGTCGTCGACGTGACGTCATCGTCTACGTCGGTGGAGGAGCTTTCGGAAAGTATATCGTCTAGATCGGCCTGCGCGGGTCAGCAAAATTTCGACAATATAATGAATAATCTTTCCGAGCAACAGCGGAAGAGCGGTTGGGTGGGTTTAACGGAGACCCAGAAGAAGCAACCGATATATCGAACAACAGGTATCCAAGCGAACGCGGAGATGGAAGACAACGCTATCCAGACCTCCCTGATCTTCACCGCGATTAAGGATAAATATGGGCCTTTCTTGCAAGAGACAATGATAAACAAGAAACCGGTTTACATCGTGTACCCCAATTACACGCTGCCCGATCTGTCGTTCCTCAAGATCAAGGAGACCGAACTCAACAATCTGGCGTTGAAGCCGCACACGTTCGACAAGAGTAACGTGGATTGGAAGCGTACCGTTCATGTGGGCTCAAAACCATCCTCCTGCAACGACATCGACGCCTTACGGCAACGCGGGTTCGCGCACGTCAAGGATTGGGAGTCGTTGACCTTCCTCTTGCCGTACGAGTACAAGAAGATCTTGCACGATGTGCCGGAGGTATCCAAGTACATCAACATCAACGAGGAGGTCAAGCGACCGCTGTTTTGTCTGTCTTCCCCGATGCGTCACAAGATCGGACCCATCAGCGAGGTCGTCCATCCGACCGTCAATACCTCGTCGACGAGCAGCACCGCGACGCAACCGTCTTCAGGGTACAGAGGCTCGTCGACAATCCTCACCGACTCCTCGACGAATCAGACGCCGTTGCTGAACAACGCGGTCAACCCGTTGTATCTGTACCGCTATGACAGCGTCAGTTCGGAGACCAGTCTGGTAAACAACGACAAGAAGCTGCATATGCTGAATCACAGACAGCCTGGCTGCCCGTCTCTTCCGAAGCGGTCGGTCTCGCTGCCGCAGGGCTGCGAGGGCGAATCCGGCTTCAATAATGGTAGAGTACCGCCGCGACCGCCCTTGCCTAGAAGCATTCTGCGGAAGAACAAGATCCTCGCGAACAAACGATACAGCATGTTCGAGATGGGAGATGTGGGCGAGCAGTCGGAGGAACTCTCCACGGAGCAAGTAAACAAGAGAATGTCCCTGCAAGAGCCGTATTATATGAACAACGATTTGCAGCTCTTGTGCTGCGAAACGGCGATCGACTCCGAGAAAGATGTCGACGAGACAGAAGCGGAGAGGTGTTTTAAAGGTATATCGGAAACCTTGAAAACCTATTCTCAGGAATGTTGTTTTACCTTGAAAAATTAGGGGATTCTCATGGAATTTGATTGACATTTAGGGAATTAAATCTCCTTTCCATAATTTTATCCTTATTTAGCATTTAAGGTTCCTGAATACTTACTGTGTCTGTTAGATTATGACGTCAGAGGCGAGAAAGCGTACGCTGAAAATTCTTAGGTGCCATTTTTAAGTGAAAAGATATTTCGAAATGAGATCTAAGAATTTTTCTTGTCTCTGACGTCATAATTCCAACATGGAAAGATGTTTTAAAGATATACTCCCGGTAACTTTGAAAACCTATTTTCAGGGAATGTTTTATCTTGAAAAATCAGAGGATTCTCATGGAATTTGGTTGAGATTCGGGAAATTAAAAAAATTGCTCTTTCTATAATTTTACTTTTATTTAGCAGATAAAATTCTTGAATCCTTATTGTGTCTATGTTAGATTGTGACGTCAGAGGCGAAAAAGCATACGCTGGAAATTCTTAGGTGCCATTTTTAAATGAAAAGATATTTTGAAATGACATCTAAAAATTTTTTTTGCCGTTGACGTCACAATTCCAACATGGTTATCGAAGAACCTTAAGAAATATATATCTACCATATTTTTGCAATATTTAAGTTTTTATTAAATTAATATGTATTTTTTTATTGACGATCTATTTCAGTATCAACATCTTAAGTTTCATAAAAAATTGCACAATTTTTAATAGGTAATATTTAAATAAATTAATACTTTTTATTTAATAAATAATTTAATAATAATTTAATAAATAATTAACTTAAATAAATTAATATGACATTTATATAATAAATTATTATTTGTTTTTTAGTTTTATTTTATATTATATTCTTGCATATATTTTGAACATTTACAATTAGATACAATGATATATTGCACTTTGTTATTGTCCAAATTAATTTTACAATTAACAAATCAATATTAAATGCTAGAAAAACTGCACTCTTAATAACTTTCTAATTATATTAATAGAAAACATTAAAAAAAGAATTTCTAAAAAAAGCAGCATCTTTTTCTGATTTTACCTGAAATTTTAAAGGAAAATACTGGGAATTCTCAAGGAATTTTTTTTTATTTGAGCAGACACCCTGATTAGTAGATATATTTTATTTAATCGTTTTTATTTACCTAATGATGAATAATTTCTTATTGTAGAAAAATTGAACGAGATTACAAATAACGCGAACGTGGAATCGAAAATTTCTCAGCATAACGAAGACGATATCAAACAATTGGAAGAATATCTGAAACACAGTGCAATTTCATCACAAAGCGACGGAGATATTGAGGACCCTGAGGTTAAAGTGAGGTCGTACGTGAGGAAATTTTTAGCCTTGAAAATGAATAAGGATCCGCTCGTCAGGGATATTGATATGGGAGATTCGCAGAGAAAAACCGTCAGTTTTGCCGTAAATCAAAAAAAGAAACATCCAGATGCAGAGGTAAAAAAGTACAGAAATCCTCAAACTCAAAAATTCTGATTTTGATGAAATCTTACATATAAGAAGAATAATATTTTTGGGGCACAACAAAAATTTTTAAAATTTATCTATTTATATGTGTATAAAGTTTTATAAAAATTAGAATTTTGCGAGATTTCCTTATAAGTTTATTTTTATTAAAAAAATGTTTCCTAATTTCAGTTAAATAATTTCAACACTGTAAATGTTCAAAATCAAGATCAGGTGATGGAAAATAAATTAACGGAGTTGAAGAGAAGAGAAGTATGCGCACATTGTTATTTTTATTCGATATAATTATTAAGCAAGAAATATCCTGAAGTTTCTATAATACATTTTGTCACTTTTTAGAAATGGTGTCAACTGTAAATAGAGCAGTAGATCTTTTATTAAAATATTGGAACGCCGATTCGAATCACAGTCGTCCCAACTATAATGAAGGAAATGAGTGTGCGCAAATCTGTTTAAGTACCTTATGTCCAGCTTTATACATTATCATGTCAGATGGTTTGAAACCTTATTTGAACTCTACCTTTGGACCAATCACCAATAGCGTTTGGCAAATCGTGGAAGCTAGTTCTCAACAAGGGCCTCTTACGAAAACATTAAATGAATTAGTACAGAAAATTAATGGTGAAGATATCATTACAGAGGGAATGCTGAAGTTTCATGCATTTGTATTTGGCTTGCTGAAGTAAGTTGAAATTCATCTTTTTACAGTTTTAATCGTGATCTAACCACTAGCGAATCCTGACATTGATGGCTTTAATCTCAAATTCTCTTTTCTAGGATCCCCGCTAGTGTAATTTATTTTATTAATCATATTAATTTAATTTAATTTATTATATTATTTTATTAATTTAATTTATTTTTATTTATTTATTCTTTATTATTGATTGGATTCTTTATCATTGCCAGTTAAAAATGAAAAGAATAAATATTTCTCCACCAATACTGACAATTCTTTATTTAATAAATTTCACAATGTTTCGATCATAATTTTGGTCCTAATTTATGAATTTAGGAATTAATTGCCAGTATTGGGCGAGAAATATTTATTCTTTTTATTTTTATCTATCGTATCTTTTAATTCGATCAAAAAATATGAGAAATTTTAATATATTTTTTTTTTCAGTCTAAGGGCTCTAGATGCATGGTTTGCGTATTTGTGTACGCGTGAGTCCATTCTACGGAAGCATTACAATAACAACAGTTTATTCATTGCGGCTTTAGTCAATGCCAATGCCCGGGAAATTGTCGATTCATTGTTGTACACTTTGAATCCGCTCGCATTTTGCCCATTTCATCTGGATCTTCTCTATCAATATCGTCAATTGCAGAATAGCTTTGGGAATATGAATAATCATACTATGAATGTACGTAAATCTGAAAACTTATTATTTTTTAAAATATACAGGGCTTTTTAAAATATACAGATTTATTTCAATCACCCTAGGTAAATATTTCGAAAACTATGAGAGATACGGAAAATGTTTCAAACAGTTTTATTTTTACTTTGAGAGGGCATAAGATGGTGTGTCATTGGTTTGACTTTGTATACTCATTTGTATACTCATTTCAAGGTTACGTGAAGACCTTCAATTTCTTAAATGGAATCTATTATTTTTATCGCATATTCTTGTAGCTTATTTTGAGAGCTTTCCAAAACCCTATGACAAATTTTTTTTCGTGAAGTACTTTTTGAGTTATTAAGATTTGAAGTAATTCAAATAATTATTTAAAAAAAAGTATGTAATTTGCAACAAATGCAGCTACATACTTTTTAAAAGCAACTATGTGTTTTCTTTACATCAATTGATTGGTCTCATTCCGTACATAAAAGTATTAAGATATGATTATCGAAAACTGAATATTTTACAAGATATTTTACATTTTATGTAAAAAAATTGTTAAGTTCAAACCTAAATAACTCAGAAAGTACTTAAGAAAAAAATACTTAATTATAGTGTTTTGGGAAGCTC